TTTTAAGGAATTGGATGGCGGAAGAGGATTGTGGGATGAGAGGGATAAGGGAGCTGATGAGTTCGTGGTTCTCGGAGATTAATGGTTTGAGGTCGTCTTGGGGGACGCGAAGGGAGAGGAGGAGGGCGAGGGTGGAGTCCGCAGGGGAAATGGAGGCGGTGGGGAGGAAGGAGATGAGGCGGCGGGGAGCGCCAGCTCGAATGATAAGGCGGCGGTTGGATTCTGATTCGGCGGCGAGGGAGGAGAGAAGGGAGAGAGAGGATGGGGAGAGATTGCGAAGGAGATTTTGAACGGTTTCGAGGTCTGCTGGTGGGCGTGGGGTGGGAATGCGATTGGCGGCGTGGAGGGATGACCATGATTGGATTAGACGGCGGAGGGTGTGGTTCGGGGTGAGCTCGGCGTCGGCAGGGATGGGTTCGTTTGTTACAGGGCAAGTTAGACGGCGGTCGATGAAGAGCCAGCGCTCAATGCTGTCACGGTCGTAGGTGATTCCGCTCCGGATGGTGACGGGGTCTTTCATGATTTCGAGAGAGATGGGGCAGATGAAGTATGGCGGGACTTCGTCTGGTTCGCCCATGGCGAATGGAGTTTTGGTTTGGATTAGGGTTTGAATGATTTGGGTGATGAGGTTGGTGAGGAACAGGGGAGGAGATTGTGGAAGAGAATGCGTGGGTTTGAAGGAAGCGCGGGTCTGGAACAATGGAGGAGATGATGAATTAATTGGGTTGTTTCTGGGATTAATTGTTTTATAATAAGTTGTCATTTGAATAAATCAAATACGTTACTTAAAAAGATTTGAATTTTAAGGGTTGATTATCATGCATATCTTATGGCGTTTGAAAATGAACGCATAATGCAGGGAATTAGCTAGGCGTGATGACTACTGGGAATATGTTTGAATTCAACGGTCAAATTTACGTTTTCAGCACGAAGTTCATGGGAGGACCTACCCAGTGAAGGCCACCCATCTTAACACTACCCAAACACGTTTAAATGTGGATATATACATATATACATATATATATATATACATA